TTGGCTATGAGTATGTCATCTCTTTACCAAAAGGGAAATAAAACACAAAGAAAAATGATAGGTAAAGAGAGACTTCTCCCTAAAAAGGATTTACATTTTTATTCCAACGTGAACAGCTTAAGAATGTTTTTAATGCCTGTCCACCTTGAAGCCCGCCGCAAATGTCTTACAACATTTTGTAACAGGCTTTTCCCATCTGTGCTGAAAACAGCCCATGATTTAATGCAAATTGTTATTGTGTTTTTGCACAATCTCCCAGAGATCTTTTCTATTTGGGATCAGCATTTGGGGTCTTTTTTGCATCTGCTTCAGAAACTCGCCTGCCAGGACTGGATTTCTGCCGGGGCCCCTCTGACCTCCTGCTTTTACCAGGCTGCCGACACTACTCATATTTTTTTTAAAAGTCAATATCTTTAATCTCATAGGACTCTTGCTCTTCTCAACATTAAAACCTGGCTTAGGAATGAATACCTTCTGGTCTAAGAGATTTAAATAGTGAAGTAAAGGATCCAAAGCGCAGAACAGCGGTTACCAACAAGGGACCCGGTGGGGGCTGCAGATCCGCTTGGATCCCTGGCGGTGTCTGTTTCAAAGTGCACTTTTGGACTAAGGTAAACCATTATATAAGCATTATATCACACAATGTATATATGTATACATATGGAATTTTTAAATGTACGCCAATAGTATTATGGTTAAGAAAATTTATTTTGAGGGCAAAGCTGATTTCATAACTCTTTGTGCATTACAGTGTGTTTATTTTCCCAATCAGTGAATTGCCATCAAGTAAGGAATTTTAAACTGTTAAAAACAAAACCCTTTCCTTTTGGTGACACCCTTAAAACCCCAAAGGTTCAGGACAGTGGGTGTTGTGTTCCAGTCGGGCTGTTCACCAACCAGCAAGACACAAACTCTGGGAATCCCAGTTCCCTCATGTGTAAAATCGGACGCTCATTTCTCTAGCCTGCCTCACAGGGTTTGGAGATGCAGAAGAAGATGTTGTAAAGCCCTGCATGTGTAAGTCACCCAAGTAACGTGGGAGCTGGGCCGCCAGGCACGCTGGTCGCTGGTTTAGATCTTGCAGAGACGCTTTGCTTGCTCAGAGGGTGAGCTCCTTGGACCCTGATGGGAGGCAACCTATGCAGATCACATCAAGGAAGACTTGGAAACAGAGTTTCAAGTCAGGACACGAGCAGGACAAATTCACCGTGAGGCCCCACAAGGCAAGCTCAAAGGTTTGTGTTATTTCAAAATACCCAGCATGCAGGCCAGCCCTCCTCTGCCCCCGCCTTGGGTTGTCAAGCTAATGTTTCCTCTCCCATCTCACCCCAACAGAAACAACCACAGACAACGAGGGCCAAGTAAAACCAAGTCAGATATGAACTGAGCCCTGGAACCAGGTCATTAGCCAAGGTCACGACGGGTTGAGAACTTCGGACTGCTTCTTCCCCCGCCTTGCCAGCAATTTTTGGCTCTTCCCCCATGGTGCGTGCAGTTGGCTGGGCCCTGAGCCACGTGAGATTGTTTTTAATGGCAAAATCTTCAAAGTTGTGCTTAAAATATTTCCATCATGAAATCCCCTGTAGAAGCCAAACTCCAGTTTCAGAAGGCGCCTCCCAGCAATGCAGCAATGTGCGTTCAGAGATGGGAGAGGGGCTCCCAGCCCAGCATCACCTTCCAGCCGCCGCGCTGTCACCACGTGGGTGACACCCTGCAGGAGACTCAGGCCATCACAGACATCGGGGCTGTGCAGGGGTGGGGACACACGCCAAATGACTTTCCCAAGCCAACAACAGTGTCGGGTGATTCGGCAGTTAGTTGAGCAAAAAAGCCTGTTTTTCACACATTTAATTGATCCTGTGAGCAAATAAGTTGTTAGAGATGAAAGATGAGTAATGTTTTCCCCTCGCCGTGGGACGCCTTTGTCCTTGTTTCTTGCACTTTTCTCCTGGGTCCAGTGTTAAATAGACACGTCTGGGGAGGGACAGGCTAATGCATGGATAACTCGCTTTAGAAAGTTAAAAATGAGAAAATAAAAACTCATGTAAATTAAAACTCAGAAAGGAAAAAAAAAACTCACAAGGAAAGGTGATTCTCCTCTTTAGCAAAGATGTTTCATCTTATTTGATCCATGATGGACTGTTTTATAAAAATGAAATTCTCCACTATGGGGTTTGACATAAAAACACTAAATTTATGGACAGGGGACCCTGGCAGATTTTTTACTTTGCTGAACAGAATGTGAAAGCTGTCGGACAAGGAGGCAGGGGAAGATGTATGTGGGCTGGGAAGATGATGAATTTTGGAGGGAACAAGCCATCTAATGGGAAAATAAGTTCCTTCTATGAGGAGTGCAAGATAATTGTCCCTGCTTTTCCCCGTGAAATCTTAAGTAAAATGTCAGTTTCTTATTTAAAAAAAAAAAAGCTTATGCTCAGAATCACAACCCTCATCCTCCACACATTAAAAAAAAGTCAATTTAATTCAACCAGCTTTGATCTAATCATTACTCAGAGCTGACAGTGGTTTTCCATTAAAATATCTCCATCACTCTCAGTTTCTGACCTGTGAACATTCTTATTAGCTGCCTTATTAAGATGATATCCTGTCTCTGAAGTAAGAAAAGAAGATTATCTCCTTACCTGACATGTCATTGTCAGAGTAATCTTGTTTAAAAAAAAAAAAGCCCCGTTAATAGACACCTGAATTTATGATATGCCGTATCCCAGGAGGACGTCCCTGATGGGACAGGCTTGGAGGGACTTGACCTCCTTGGCCATGACTAGCAAACAAACCCAGAAACCAACCCCCACCTGCTTCATCCTGGGTTGGTTTACACTGGAGGCAAGACCTGGGTTTTAAGGACTCAAAGGATGAAATGAGAGACACGTGAAAATGACCAGACAGGTGCAGAGCTGTGTGTACATTTCACATGTGCTCCGTGCACCTGTGGTGCGCGTGTGCAAACACATCTACCTTCTCATGAAAATGGAGGACGGGGAGCAGTCAGTAGATGACTATCCTTTTGGGGTAAATCATGCTGACTGAGAAGCCTCGGGGCCCCTGCTCTCCCCTGGCCTCGTGTGCAGACTCACGGTGCTGGTGGACTGTACCGAAGCACATTGCCGACCAAGTGGTCAGCTCTCTGGGCCTATTTTCTGCCCCCTTTCAAAAAGGCTCTGCAATAAAACCAACTGCACCCACTTGACTATAAACAAAGTTCATTTGTCATGTGTAACTGAAAAGTTGTGCTCTACACGGGAATTTGACACAACATTGTAAACTGACTATAACTCAATAAAAAATGTAAAAAATAAGTAAATTTAAAAAAGGACTTCTAATTCTCAAAAAAACAAAAACAAAAACAAAATTCATTTGGTTTACTGTCTGAGTCAATAGATTTGACTTCCTTGGCAGAAAACCTGAGAATCCCAGGTCCCTCTCTCCTTCCTTTTAGTGACACAGCCTGTGAACCACAGGATGCTGTCCCCTCGGAGCTGTCCTTGGTCTAAAGGACCACGAGGTGGGGAGGTGGGTGTGGTGCTTAAATTATGTAGAATAATTTAATACATTATATTAATATAAATTAATATATAATAATAAATACATTAAACATAAATTATATAATAAATATATATAATATTAAGACACCTACATTACATAACGCTATCTTTGTAATTTGTAGTTCCATGTAAATATTTCTCAGACTCCGCATAGTCCTAATGGGCTAAGGGGGGCAGTAATGTAACAGGGGGACCGCCTTTTCCGAGGGGCAGTTGAGTTACTCCATTCAACTCAGCTCTGCGAGGGCCTTGGGGTTGCCACCTGCCCCCTTTCGTGACCTGGGACTTCTCCCCATAGACGTGCTCTTCCAGTGGTCCCGGCAGGTCCTGGTGGAATGTTCTGGAGCAGAGGCCAGTCCATGTGACAGGATTGCTTGGTTGGCTATCTTCTCACTTCTCTGCTGACCCCATCTATTTCTACCCCTCCGGGCGGCTCAGACTGTCAGTTTGAATCTACAAATCCTCTGTGATCTGAGCCCCCGTGACACTCACTCTTGCCTCCCCTGCTCTGCTTCTCACTGTCAGCTGGGATAAACAGCCTGTGAGTCTCGGCATTTGCGACGGGCCTCCTGGTCAGTGAGAAAATTAACAAATCTGTCCACCTTCGCTTCTCTGCCTCCCCACACCCTGTAGGCATGTAAGAGCTGAAGACGTGTTATCTCCTTGGCTTGCCGTACACGTCTCGTTACTAATCAACTGAGGTGACAGAATCTGGATTTAGTGGCAGGATGAGGGTTGCTATGACAATCAGTGACGCTCGGCCCTCCACAGGAGGGCATTTTGGACACGTCTTGGCAAAGACTGCCCTCTGGGTGGGGACCATGACCATAACTGTGCACCAGACCCACCCAGGGATGCAGTACCCTTTATGCCTTCAAAGCACCGCACAGATGTTAACGAGTGTCCCTCTGGGGGAAAGAGCAAAGCTTCAGTGTATAATCTGGGAAGAGCCAAGTGATGATAGTGTGCAAATATCAATGAGCAAGTCAGAGCCAGGCTAGTTTGGAAGCGGATTTGAACTTGGGCTTTTCTTTGGGCTCAAGGTGCACATGGCTAGGACTCAGCCGGGATGTTCGGCTTATGAAATAGTCCACAGGGAGCAACGGGCAGCCATGGAAATGCCACATCACTCCCTGTGTGATTGTTCCTTCATTTATTCTAGTGTATCGGCTCCTTCGTTCAGCATTTCCCGGCTGCCGCGGGCGGCCTGGGGCTCCCAGTAGGCCCCTCAGTCAGGCCCTTCTCTCCTTTCTGTCCCCTCTCTCCTCAGGTGCTCCAGTAAACAATCGCCCATTTCCGTGTTGGTACACAGAAACGAGGACTCTTTCAACTTCTCTAAATATGGACCAAAAAAAATCACATCTGCTAATAGACAAAAAAAACAAAAACAAAAAACAGCTAGGAGAGTTCCCGCAGGAAAACTACAGACACCACAGAGAACAGGAAGGAATATGCCTTTTATTGGACGTCTCACATGTACAGGGACAGCTGTTTCTCACAGCACAGGGGAGGCTGTGAGGAAGAGCCGCTGTCATCCGAGGTCACCGTGCTGACACCGGTCACGTCGCTTAAACATTACCACGCTCTACAAACAAATGGAACCGTCACACAGAGGAGCAAAAGAGACAGATGCAGGTAGGGGACAGACACCTCACACGGGTTCTACAAACAAATGGACACAAAAATAGCGTGCCAGTAAAAAAAATTAGGCATATCAGTACATGTCTCTTTTTTTTCCTTCTCTTTTTTGTTCACAGGATGCTGAGCTTTCATCTCAAGCTTTTTTCACATCGGGATGGGCAGGCACTTGAGCAGTCCAGCCAGGGTGTACAATATGATGTTCAGACAGCAGATGAGAACATGGGAGCCCTTGGCAACCCGGCTCCTCCTGACCCGTATGCGCGTTAACGTGTCGACAGGAGGGCTAGCTTTTGCTACCATTGTCTGGGGACACCAGAAAGTTCTGTGTGGGGTGGAACGGCTTTCCTCTTATCTTTTCTGTTTCCTGGCAGAATTATTTAGAAGCATGGATGGCATCACCAGGCAGAGATACAGCAGGTGGTTGAATAGACAAACATCAATTCCAAGCGACTTTAAAAACCAGAGAAAGCATGTGTGTTTTTGGAATCCCAAAAGGAGTATCTGTCCCTGTCCTGTGCTGTGCACCTCCTGCTGACTCGTCAAACACACACTGGGTGTGCTGGGCCAGATGCTCATCCTGGGAGACTCCTGTCCTTACTACCACCCCCCACGGCGTGACACCACACATGGCCCACGGGCAGGTGGCCCTTCCCTCCCAGGGCTCACACCCGCCTCCCACGTTCCCCACGTAGAGATGTGGGGAACTCAACCCGTGTGTGAGGAACAGGACTAAGCAAGGGTGTTTATAAACACAAACAGAATGGTCACTTTATTGGTAACACTGAGTTATAAGGCAGTTACAAAAGGACCCCCCTGATAACCAGACAGTGTTGGAATATGGCTTCGTTTCTTGTAGATGAAGGACCTTTCCTGTTACAAGGAGCTGAGAAAGAAAAGGGAAGCCACACTGGTAACAAAGGATTATAAACACTGTGCCAGGAAGTACTGTGGAGCCCCAGTGTCTGGTGAATGCCACCCACTGTCATCCACCAGAGACTGAGACGTCACCTCATCCTAGGAACTTAAAGGGGAAAGAGGGAACAGCATCACCCTCGGCTTCAGGGTTACCTGTCACCATGAGTTGTACAGGGAGGTACCCAAAGCCCTAGGCGTCTCACGGGCTGGGCCAGGATCCTGGGTACCCAAGAGATGCAGAGCATATGAATGCCTCGAACAGGTGATTGTCAGACGGCGGGAAATCCTTCCATGACGCAGACACTTGAGACAGAGTGGCAAAGACATTAAGGCCTTCCATTGAATTGCCCACGCTGCTTAAAGGCACTGATTCCAACAAGAAATATTCCGTAGTACCACCGAGGTTTTAAAAAAACTCCCCCAGGACAAGTCTCCGTAGGAAAATGTCCTTTATTGCATGACACGCAGCATCCGCTCTCCTCCGGCTCAGGAATAGAAGGGCCGCCCCTTCTCGGGAGTCTGGAGTCTGTTCAGCCTGGCGACTTGTGACGGGGAGGGCGGCACGTCCTGCCGGAAGGGCCCCTTGGGGGGGACGTGACTGGGGTCCTGGGCTTTCTTATACGAGTCATAGCTGCCGAGCCCCTCGGGAGGGGGCTGCTTCTTCACCTGCTGCTCCTTGCGCCGCTGCTCCTGGCGCAGGAGCTCCTGCGTCTCCAGCATCACCCTGGCGTTGAAGCCGTGGCCGCCCAGGTAGCCGTTGCGGGAGCCCTGGTAGCTGGAGTACCGGGGGTTCTCCTTGGCACTCTGGAAGCCTTCCCCCGGGGAGTAGTTCTGCTCCCAAGAATCCTGGGAGACGGAGCTGGCGTTCTTCCTGCTCTGCCTGGAAAGCAAAGCCCAGAGGTCAGTGCGGGGCTGGGGGCCGGGGGAGATGGGGGGGAAAGGCGCGAGGGGGTGGGCGAGCCCGAGTGGCGCGTCCTAGCCCAGCAAACGGCACTGCCTGCCAGTCACGTGCCAGACACGGGGATGGGGCTGCAGGGGTCAAACGCGAGTGTCCTCGCGCAGCTCAAGTCTGAGACCAGCTCACCAGCAACGCTGACCGGGAGGAGAGTAACAGGCAGCAGCTACCCTGGGGGCTGCTCAGGGTAATGATAGCTCCTGCAGTTTAGACTCATTGGCAAGATGCTGTATCAGAGCGCGAGAGATCTGGTAGCTTCGACAGCAGTAACTGCTCGCTTTAGAACATTACAAGTCAATTCTAAACAACAAGCCAAACGAATATTTCACACCATTGCCACCATATTGCCAGAGATGGTGGCTAATAGTCCCTGCTACGGATCACAGCATGAGTTCAGTTATGAAAGATTTAAGTCTACGTGCCTTCGTGATAAAAAATGCAACAGGCAGCCCCTCAAAGCTCCGGCTTTCAAGTTGTACATGTCAGCAACTGACACACTTCAGACTACATGCCCATCAGGACTGTGGACCCTGGACGTGTGTGGAGTGAGCACTATTTTCCTGCCCACGGTATCATCACCAAAGGCCAGGAGAACTTAGCTCACTTTCTGTCATCCTAGGATGGGGAAATAAATCAGAGTCCCATAGAAATTTCGAATGCTTAGCGCTTTGGCAATAAAGTTGCACATCATTTTCAGGAAACATTATTGTTTTGAAACATCTTTAATTTACTATCAAGTCTCTAGATGCTTTTATGAATTTACAATAAGATTGGCTATGATAAAGTAAAACAATTCTGGGACAGAAAGGAAGACATGCCCTACTTTTTTGCCTTGAGAATGGAAGAGCGCGAACGAGAACAGAGTAATAAAACAAAATATATTGCTCCATTTATCAATAAGAAAATCATTTGGTGACAGTAGGCATTGCTCAGCCTTTCACATCACACACAACACGACAGAAAGACTCTGGCAGACAGAAAATAAGGTCCGTGAAGCACTGGGTCTCCCACAAGAATAAAGCAATTTGCATTTTTTGAACATTCAGAAGAGGCATGAACGTGGTTTAGGATGAAGTCTGCCCATTTTCCATATGGCCTACGATGTAGTCAAGAGTATTTTCAATAAGGAAGATAACTAATGGCCAGTATCGCTCCTCGGTATGACTGATTAACTGAAGTGTCTACAGGGTCTCTGTTCCCTTTTAGGAATCAGACCCCTGGTACCATCAGCCCGAGCAAGAACCCTTAGGTTTGGTGGAGGCTTTATTTGCAAAACGCGCTGATTATCTTCTCTTAAAAAGTCATAAATTACTCTGCCTCGAGCCATGACTGATGGAAGGTTCCCACATGGAGCCAAGGGATTCGACGTGAATCATGAAACTTTACTTAAAACAACAAACATGTTACTGATGTTACAGCAACAAAGTGGGATTCCTTCCTGGGTTAGCTATCAATTTAAGGATAACAAGAGACAGGCTTTACATCCTTGGACGACAGAGGTCCGCTGGCCTTCTCCATCCCTACCTCCATCCCCACGAGGTCCTGCACCAGAAGACGCATTTTGAGTCGGTCCAGGAAGACAGTCTTTTTGTAGTCAAACACACTGAGAATTCACTAAAGGTCTGCTCAGGATGGGAATTATGAAAGAATTTCTTGTAGGGAAAATTTTCTTCAAATGAGCCAGTTTAGAAAGAAGGAGAGACAGACCCCCCCCCCCAACCCACCCCTGAGGTTCAAAGTAAGACGTGTGGGGAAAGTGTATGTATCTCCTCAGAAAGGAAGCCAGCGTCTCAGCAAGCTCTTGATTAAGGAAGAGAACAAGAAGTGGGCAGGTGGTCCCCCGCATGCGCGGAAGCAGCACACGGCTACGCGCTCCCCCTACGGAAGGCAGCCGCGCGGGCTCGGGGCGCGGGGGCTGGCGGCCCGCAGACACTGCTCCGGCCCCGTGCCCGCCCAGAGGTCGTCCTCCCGGGGCTCGAGGCGCCTCCTCTGGGAAACAGGCAGAGTGTGTAACCTCGGCGGGTTACGGAGAGAAAGGAATGAAGTAACACCTGCAAAGTGCTCGGGGAAAGTGCCACCTAGCACAGGGGTAACTAATGGGCGACTTTAACTTTGCCTCCAACAATTAGGCTCTGGGTTTGGAAGGAGGGGGAGTGTCCTTCTAGCCAATGGCAAAAAATTAAAACGTTTCCATCCTCAGTCAGAAGGATCAGCAGAGTTCAAGGAGCAGAGAGGCGCAGGAGTGACAGGGGAACCCTCCCTCGGTGACCGAGAAGCGAGCTTCCCACGGTCCCACGACCACGCGGGGGCCACGGGGCAGCACGGCGGCAACGAAGCTTCTCTCCTCTCCGTGACTTTCTTTACAGCCATCGCCCAGGCTTGTCTGGCCCTGCAGCGAGCTCACCGGAGAGTCCTGAGTCCCCGCAAAGCGCACAGCCTGGTTTGGCAATGACTGCTCCCTTAGCGGCCCTGCGTGAAGCCCACCCTCATGGTGGGGCGTGCTGCGCTCACATTCAGAGCTGCCTCCTGGCTACAAAGGAACTGAGGTAGGAACTAAAAAACGGATTTAAAAAAAATAATTTAGGAATTAAAAAAAACAAATCCTCATCTGACTGAGAACTGCGTGGTGATCTCGTGTTTCTCACCGACATTTCAAAATGAAACTTGAGTTTTGCCTGTACATCTCCTCAATCAGGGCGAGAATTCACCGTCCCCCGCCCCTGCCCAGCGCGGATACGCACCCTAATTCAAACCACCTTGTCCAGCGTGCCTCATACAGAGTCCTGACCGTTTCTCTGATGCTCTGCTTTGCAGCCGAGCTTTGTGCGTGTGTGAGATCTTTCTGGCATCAAATGCCACAGCAACTTCTTTGGACAAAACTCCACTAACTGTCCACATCTGAAGAGCTGAGGGCAAATGTCTCTGAAGGCTCTCATGTGGCAGAAACTCAGCGCGGCCTACCACGCATGCGGGTCCTCATGGCCCTCCTCAGACTCCAGCTCCTGGCTCCGCAAGGAGCCCCCTGGGTGCCCGGCCCCTGACTGTCCCCACTCAGAGATGGGGGCTGAGGAGTCACAGGTGACCCCAGAAATGCACGAGGCTGAGCCGCATGGGTCCGCTTGGACACATGCATTCTTCAGTCCGTGGCCTGCAGCTGGCTGTGCGGATGCGGAGGGCAGGCCAGAAGTGATGTGTGATCAAGCCCCGCAGGTAAGGTCACCTGCCCTCTCTGAGAGGTGACTGTGATGTAGAGGCCGGCCGGCCCTGCTTCCCTCAACTCACACAGCTCTTTCAGGGATTCCCCTCTTCTGTCCACCCGGAATGAAATGGCGAGCCTGAGGGAGCTAGCACTGACCAGAGGGGAAGGAGCCGCACCTGCAGCTTGGAGCTCCTGGTCCACTGTGGGGCGGAGCAGGAGAAACCCAAGGGAAGCCCTGCCTCCGTCTTGTCTGCAGACCTCGGGGGTGGCCCCTCCACCCCCGCCCCCGCCATCTCCTCCCACACGAAGAGCTCGGCCAGCCCTCGCCACTTCTCACAGGTACTCTCAACACAGCCTGAACGCAGGGAGCCAGACACTGGCCAACAAGAGGTCGCAGCCCCATCCAGACATCTCCGCTCCCGTGGGCCGTGATGTGCTGCCACCCCTGCCTGGCGGTGGCACCAGGGCCGCCACGTGTGTCGGTTCATCCACACCCCTGGATGGATGAACCAAGCCGACGGGCTGGGCAGAGGGGTCTTCCACTGGTCTCCCACAGGAGTACCCAGTGTCGCGCATTTGATGCACAGGTGATGCTTAGGGTGGCCACTCCTCCTCCCTCCGGTCCCTCTCCTCTTCCCACCTCCCCCTCCACGTCCTCTTCCCTGCCCTCCTCCTCCCATTCCCCTCCCTGCACCTCCTCTTCCTCCTCCATCCTTTCTCCTCCCCCTCCTCCTTTTCCTCTTCCCTCCTCCTTCCCTACC